GATCTTAAGTTGAAGGACCGCATGCACCATTATCCATAAGAAAATATATTCCATAAACACTAGGTTTACCATCTTGTCTGGAATCCTTTGATGGGTCAGTCTAGTGGACTTGCACAAGCAAGCACTCATAAGTTGCACCAGGTTGATGCCCATAACCTTGACATGTGAGATCTGTCACTATCTTTCCATTTAAAATAGGTCTTCCAGTTTATATATGTTGTGTGTAAATTTTTCCGTAAGTTCGAGGGTTTCAGTAGCCTGGTAATCAGTAGATCGATATGACCTTATGGTCGCGGAATGTTGGAGTTTGACCCGGAATGAGTCCGTCGTGACCATTCATTACAGTTGTTCGACAGGTCACTAGATAAGCCTTATCTTGAACATCTCGAGGGAGATAAGATCGGGCTAATATCTGCGCAATCACTGAAATCACGGAATTGCTTATCAAATCTCATTAGAATCCCGAATTTCTCTCTCTTTCCTTTACTGTAATCTTGTATACATATCACCTCCAAATATGAAAAAAGGGTTAGCATTTTTGTTGAGAAAAGACTTATATAATCTCTCAAAAGCCAATAAGATAACAGTGGATGTAAGCTCAAAATCAAACTTGCTAAACCACTTTAAAAATTATGTTTGTGTTCTTTAATTTTATTGCATTTTTTGCTTACATTGCTGGTTTTCATTGAATCACGCACATATTTGTTTCGATTCCGCTAAAGTCAATCAGATCTCTTTGGTTGGTACGAATTTTCGTATCAACAATATATAAAACACTACCATGCAAGAAAAACTTTGTGATTCATGTGGCAAAGACCTTATATACTTATTAGAAATAAATATATATTTTTGAAAAAGACATTTTTAGCTTTTAATTTGAATAAAAACCTCATTTTTAAACAAGGGCGGAATTAACAATAAAGTACAAATTTAATATAGTGAGTTTTGTCTTTGAAAAAGCATAAAAAGAAAGAAAAAGGAAGACAATATTCATTTTGAAAATTTTATACTATAATATGAATTTATTGCAATCTTTTGTAAAAAAGGAACGAAGTTATTTTTTTGTTTAAGATTTTAGAAAGCAAAGGAAGATGAGAATGAAAACAACAGAATAAATTCTAAAGTAAAAATATTCAGAAATTAGAAAATTAAAATTATTTAATAGAATTAAAAATCTTGAATATTATATGATAATTAATTATGAATTTTATATATAAATTTAGGGTTTACTTACAAGTAAAAAATTTAAACATTTTTAGACATCATAGGTTGTATCAATATTTAACATCAATTATTAACTGATATTTCTATTTAGAAAACATTTAACATCAACTATATTGGATATTATTAATTGAAAAACTGATATCTTTTTACTATTTTGTGTTAATTAAATGTCTCTAACAAATAATAGTTAAGGTTGTTGGGACTATTTATTATATGTAGTTGAGTTGGGAATGAGGACTCAATTCCTTACTCTTGGAAAATAAATAATGGTGGGGCTTCAATTCCTCAGAATCGCTGTTGTATTGGTATTGCAAAGTCTAGTCATATTTTCTAGACATAGTTTTGGTTTTGCAGCAACAATAATCTCTCGGGAGTCCCCCTTTTATAAGTACCCAACCTTACTCACCGCCAAAAGATTGAGAGAATGGTTAATGTTACCCTGGCTAAAGCTAAACTGACAAAATTGCGTTCTACTCAAAATTCGACATTCGATGATGACAAGCATTTTTCTGCTCTATGGCGTAGATGTTAATCGGAAACCCAACTCGATATGTGTATTTAATGGTGGATACTGGTAGTCCGCTAGTTTGGACACAGTGTCAAACTTGCGTAAATTGTTTCCACCAAACTTCTCCCATTTACGATCGGCAAGCTTCCTCTACTTACTGTGGAATTTCTTGTAATCACCCAAATTGTAACCATGATGAAGAAGACAGCCTTTTCCAATGTGTTGATGGAAGTTGCGCCTACAGTATGCAATATGGTTACGGTGAAGATATCAGTGGCCCGACAATAGGTTTTGCATCTTTCGAATCATTTAATTTTTTCGTGAACGACAATGGTGATACGGAAACATTTACTCTTCTCTTCGGTTGCTCCACTAATAACGAAAAATTCAGTTTTACTTTTGATGAAGACAATAGGATTTCTGAGATCTTGGGATTAAACTTGGATCCAATTTCACTAGCGTCCCAATTGTCATATGTCTTCTCTTACTGTATTGTTCCCTATGATGATAATTTTCCATTCGATGAGCATCAGAGCATCCTCATATACTGAGGTTTGGGGCGGATGTTTTTATTCCTTCACATAACATTCCAACAACGTATTATGTACTGGTTGAAGATACAGATTACTACTACCTTCGTCTTTTAGATATAAGTGTGGGAGGTTCTCGCTTAAATTTACCACCAGGTACCTTCGACCCTTCCTCTGATACTGGTTTCTTCATAGATTCCGGAGCTCCATTTACCTCACTTATTGCCGAAGTAGATTCCGGGTTTGTCAGCATTGCAAGTCAGGATGAAGGATATTTCTGTGTAGCAATATTGCCCGAAGAAAGTAAATCTATTCTAGGAGCTTTTAATATGCAAGATATGCGCATAATTCATAATGGCCAAATCGGAGCAATTCAGTTTTACGCAGCACATTGTGCTAATGATCATATTTATTGGTCTCTGTAAATATTTGTAATTAAGCCATGTTGAAATTGGATTGAAGTATACAATATGTAATTAATCTATCTTCGCTTTTTCTCAATTTTCTCCATTTTATATTTGGAAAAGTGTTCTTACGAAGTTTATACGTAAGTGTTTTCCTTAACCTATGAAGTTTGTTTTTTATTATCTTTAAAAAATCCACTATTAAAATTACTATTACCTATTCAAAAAATATGTTGAACAATGTTTAATTTTTATCATCGCGCACATTTTCGTTTCCTAGGTTTTTTGGTTTTCACTAAACAAACAGTAGTAAATTTGTCATAACTTACTCAATAAAAATCCAATTGATTAACGGTTTGAATCTTTTGAAACTAGACAGACATGACTTTAATTTGATATATTATACGCTAAATTTGGATAACTGTATACCCACTGTCGAATTCAGACTATTAAACTAGTTGTTATGTAAATGATTAATTGTTTTTGTTCTACTGAACGGTAAGTATATCTCTTAACAATCTTAATATAAAAATGAATTAATTTTTGTTGATTTTGTTTTCAGATAACAGTTGTTATTTAAATGAATAATTGGTTTTGTTCTGTTGAACAGTAAATATATTTCTTAACAATCTTAATATAAAATTTAATTAATTTTTGTTTATTTTGTTTTAAGGAAAAACATTCATGTATTTTAATAAAATGAAATTGAGGATGTTACTATGTTCTACCGAAGTGTAAGTATATGTCCTAGCTATCTTAATATGAAAACCAATTAATCTTTTTCCATATTGTTCACATCAAGTAACATAATGTTGTAATAGTTGAGGGACGATTTCATGATTTATAGAATGAGGACCTAAACATTTTATTGTTCGAGGTTTGGCGATGATGAATCGTCATGATTGGTATCATAAAGCCGATTTGAAATATAGGAACAATTGAGACAATAACACAGATGGCAGACAATACATTCATGTATGGAATTTTATGAAACCAGTTGTAACACAATCAACTATAATTATAATTGATCAAAACATGCTTCAGTTCAAGACGTTATTACCAAACCATCAATATACCTATATAATGATGGTAAACAAAATGACAAAACAAATTTTATTCATAACTGTAAGGTGAAATAACCTTTATTTCATCAATATTACATTTCCGATTGTACTCAATTAATATATTGACATTATTAAGTAAATCTCAGTGGCAAACCATAATTAAGTACTCAATTAATATGTTATTTCATCAACATTACATTTCCTATTGTTATTACTTGTATAATTAACTACCGTTTTGTATCACAGTGTCCAAAGATTTTTTGAGACTTCATCAATCGGGGCATAATCTAAAAGTTGGAATTCACAAGATGAGAATGGGGATGCATATATGTATTACACCCAATAAAAAACTAGTAAATGTGGAGTAGGAGTTGACTCAGCTTTACGTGGATGTCACATCTTATTATAAACCAAATTTACTCATGTCAATAGTAATTAACTAATAAGGACCTAAGGTTACTTTTAGATTCTACCAGACCTCGTTAGGTCAAACCTCAAGGACTAAAATGTATTTAACTCCAAACATAATGATGTAGTAGTTGATATTATTTCAGAAAAATAACAATTTTGTCCCTAAGGTTTGGTTAAAATATCATTAGCAAATCTCACGGATCAAAAAGTTACTAATACTAGTAGGGAGTTAGGGACCAAAAGGTTACCAAAAATTATATAAGACTAAACGGTAATTATACTAAAACTTGGGGACAAAATTGTTATTATGGCTATTATCTGTTTTTTTTAAGGCTAAAAAAAGACAACTGGCAAACTCGATGATCCAAAAATTGCCAGTTTAACTTAGGTGGAGAAGGGCCCACTTAAACCCAATTTTCCAAAAAACAAATCATTAATTAAGTCATGCTTCCAACTCGGATATTCACTTTCTCCATTTCATTAATCAATTAATTCAGATCCAACATAATGCCATCATTACCCTCACCAATCATCTTTCCAATCCCTCGCTCGCCTCAAAGGTTATAATAGTCATTTCTGATATTTCAAGAAATTAATAATTTAAAAATTCCTTTCGTAACAAAACAAATTCATTAACAGTGACACTGTTAAGAAACCGAAACTATAATCTTCTACAACGAACGTATCACATCTCTATGCTACACAAAAGGATCTTGACCGACCTAACGGTTGAGATTAGATCAAAGTTTAAATCAAAACATATCGCAGGGTGAGAATCTGATGACTTTCTGAAACGCGTTGTAGACGATTTCGCTAAAAAAAGGCTGCCACTGATCTCTCGTTTCAACAAGAAAATCCCCAACTCGCTGTTTCAATCTCTCTTTCTATCTGAGAAGAAACGAAAGCCCAAAAGAGGCCTGATTTTGTTTCTGTTTGTGGAAACCAGGTCTTGAATCTACAAGTTCATTAAAAATTAAAACACATTGTTCAATTTATTTAGATCTGGATTTCTGATTGTTTCGGTTTGTAACCGAATAAGTGTTTGTTTATTTATTTATTTATTCTCTCGAGGTTCGTCTTCAAGCTTCTTCCACAATGAACGACCTCTTAGGAGTAAGTTTATCAGCTCGCATATTTGTTTTTAATTTTTTTAAGTGTTGTAAATTAATTTAGGTTTTATTTTGTTTGATTGTGAGGACGTGGAATTTGTTTTGTCTTGGTTCTGTTTTGATTGTGATGGTTGTATTAGTTTTGTTTAATCCTGTTTGTTTTATTTACAATTAAGAATTAAGATTGTTGACTACGTAATTTTGAATTTTATTTATTTCTTTTAATATTGGAGCTTAGAATTTTCTGTTTGTTTGCTGAGAAAGAGATGAGAAAATGGAATGAAATGAAGCTACATCGTTTAAGAAGTACCATAAAAATTTTGTTGTAAAAAGGTTTATAACAAGGATGATCAGCTTCAAGTTTTCGAGGAGATCAATTTGAATTAATTAGTAGCATGGAATTCAGTTTAAGATTATTCTGCTTATTTGGTGAATGGTGTTCTTAGGAATTATTGATGTTCTGAGACCCATAAAATACAAAATGCTGTAGCAAACTTTGGTGATTTAGAATGAATTTCTGATGTGTGATATAAGGAAAACTCTACTTTGAGATATGGATACCATGGGTTTGGAGACCATTGCAAAAGGATTAGCTATTTATCCTTCTATAACGGTCTCGAATTCATAATGCAATACTGTCGGTATCATAAAATGACTCGTGGTTTAATTAAGGACTAAGATTCAAATTGTCATAATAGTGAGTTGCATCTGGTAGGAGATTAGGTTGTTTCTGATGATCAAAAGAGCTTATTTTTCACTAATATGATTACACTTTTTTGGTTTCCTTTAAAAAAAAAAAAAAAGAAAAAGAACAAGAAAAATTCGAATTTATGTTATGTGGACTTGATTGAAACCTGATTTTGTTATAGAGTTTCTGAGATCTTGTGGCTCTTTTGGTCATATTGGACATGATTAAATTTGTGTGCTCTAGAAGAATTACTGCATGAGAAGAAATTAATAATTGATCTGAAACAAAGAATAATGTACTTAATAATTGTCAACTGTAATTACATTGTATAGGGATCTGCATAATTACGTAACTGTCATGCTTTCTATTTATTTATGTCCTAGTGTCAAGTGGTGAGTTTCTTGAAAGGTCCTTTTTTGGTTTAACTTGGCCTGGCTTTAGTTTAATATAGTTCATAAGGTTTTTACTGTGTCGAGTTTCGAGTTCATATGCAACTGAACATCTGAGAGGCTTTATGAGGCTTGTCTTTTATTGTTATTGGCTACATTGCTTCATAGATGAACTGGTGCTGTTATGGTTAAAATTTAAAGTTTGGTGCTGAGTTTATCTGCTAATAACTTAATGACTTTTGCAGAATTCTTTTGAGCTCCCTCGGAGTCAAAGTTCCAGAGGGGGAGATATTGAGTTAGGGGCACAAATGAATTCCGGAGAACTGGGCTTGGAAAGTTTCTTTAAAAAGGTGATTTCAACTTCTTACTTCGTTTGTTTCTTATGTACAAGGCTGAAGGAAGATCAATGTAGTTACATTCTTTTCTGCCTTTTTAGTCCTTTCTTGTCAATTGTCATCTGTTTTTATTATAATTATTATGGCTAAATACAAGTGTTTGGATAATCAATATGAGTCTTAGAATATTATATTACATCTTATCATATCGTTTTTTTCCTATTTTTGGCAGGTTCAAGAGATCGATAAAGAATATGCAAAGCTTGAGAAACTACTTAAAAAGCTCCAGGTAGAAAATTTTCTTTTTCTGGTGATGTTGATTTGGTTGGAAGTTTTGTTGACAGCATTTTAACTGTCTAGTCATCCGTGTTTTATGTTAGGAAAAATGTTCAAAATCATTTCTTTAGAGGGAGTCATTTAGATTTTTTTTTTGTTGGTGTGCGTATTTTCTATCTTATTTATTTATTTATTTTTTAAAGATGCTACTTTGGGATGCAAGAAGATCTGGTTAGGAGTTTACCAGGATCAAGTGTAAATGTTTTTTACAAGATGATTGAGCAGAAGAATTTAGAAATTCCAAATGCAGAAACCCTGTAAGGTTGACATATCTAAGAATACATTCAGAATTGAACTTTATTGCAGTTAGAACTGAGCCTTCCTAGAGGGGAAAATAAAATGGACTGGTCTTTCATGTACATTAACATAGTCTTCCTATTTGTATTTATGCTGGATTTATGCCCTAGTTATTTTACACCATCAGTTATTAAAGGTATTGTTGAGAAAATATGAGTCGAAATTCAACTTGAATTAGTGTTAAGCAAGAAAGAGCTAGATCTTCAATGTATTTATTGACCTGCTTTTTCTAATGTGTGCTTTATTATCATTTTCCTGCACATCATCAATTCAGGATGCACATGAGGAGTCAAAGTCTGTGACCAAGGCTCCTGCCATGAAAGGTAATCAGTAATCTCATGCAGTTCTTTTTGATCTTCAAGTGCATTTATTTTTTTATATAGATATTCCTTTTTCTTCCATTTCTTCCTTTTTGTAAATGAAGTAAAACAACTGTGCTTTAGAAGATGGGAGTTAAAATTATTCATGAAAAAGCTTTATAAATATAATATTTTATACAATAAGTTTCACTGTATTGCCCATACATATTTTCACGTGTTCAAACCAAGCCCCAGGTTGTATTTTGCAATGCTCAAGAATTCAGTAAGAGCAACAGTAGTTTGAAGTTTATAGTAGGTGATAAAACCATGCAGATTTCAAATAACAAAGAACAAGAAGACCTTCAATGAGATATCTGTGAGCCACAAGCTGCTTTCTGTTAGCCACTGATGACATATATTTACATTTGTGGAGTCCTGTTTATGCACATTCATACAGACGTGTTTCTGTGTGGGGGTGGGAAACCACTCAAATTTCCACATTGTCCACAAAATTTGAATAGTTTCTTCTGTGCATGCTTTTAGATCCATTATGGTCAAGTTTCGTTAATTTTTTATTTTCTTCTATTCATCAACTTAATGATTAGTTGCAGTTTTTTTTAACTTGATAAATTATAATGATGGATCCTGTTCTCGTCATTAGCAATCAAGAAGCGAATGGAGAAAGATGTTGATGAAGTTGGAAAGATTGCTCGTTTTCTAAAGTCGAAGATTGAAGAACTGGATAGAGAGGTAAGAAAACTTGCTGCTTTTGTTCTATGATTTGTAGTTCTTGGATCGCTTATGTGTCCATTCTTTTATGTGTTCCAGAATTTAGCCAATAGGCAGAAGCCTGGGTGTGGAAAAGGAACTGGTGTAGATAGATCAAGAACTGCAACAACTCTGTAATTTACATTTCCTCTCTATATTTTCTTCTTTCCTTACTGTTTACCACTACACTGTTATGTGAACAATATCTTCTCTGAAATTTCTTGAGTCCTTTAATGATCTAATCTATTGGATAATGACATGAACATACAATTGGTAGAGAAATGCACCAGAGCTACCATCTGTAAAGTCCTGAAGTTTAAAATTCTATTTGATACTCTCTGTGAGAGATTGACATGGTTTGAGCAACTTTTTGATTTTTGTGCATAATAGAGTTTCAGCTGTCAGACTCACCATGACTGACTTGGTAACCTTATTTTTGTTGTAGAGCGTTGAAAAAGAAGTTGAAAGATAAAATGGCAGAATTTCAGGTAGTTCAGATATAAATAAATCGGATAAGATTCCTTTGTTTTTTTAATTTTTTTAAAAGAAGTTTGGTATAAACTCTTTATGATGTTTTGAATCTTTTCAATACAGTTCCTTAATATTTTTTTTTTTTTGCAGGTTCTAAGGGAAACCATCCATCAAGAGTACCGAGAGGTTGTTGAGAGGCGTGTTTATACAGGTTTGAACCCAGCACCTGTTATTATTAATGGTTATAATATCTGAATACAATGCTCTGGCCTTCCACTATGCAGCTAATTGTTTGTGTTTCCTGATTTGAATGGTTCAGTAACTGGCGCAACTGCGGATGAAGAGGTAAAATTACTTCCCAGAATTCTAAGTAATCTGGCTTCTTGTAAGCTCATATCTCACTATTGAACAATGTACAGACAATTGACAAATTGATTGAGACTGGAGACAGTGAACAAATATTCCAGAAGGCAATCCAGGAACAAGGGCGGGGCCAGGTTTGTCTTTCTTTATTTCGACATACCATACTTTTTGTCAAAAGCGTTTTTTCTTCCTTTTGTCAAACCGTTTTTTGTTGGTTGGAGATTGGGGTGGATCGGCGGATGGGAATGATATATTTTGGGTACTTCTTGGAGAGTATTCATGGATATTAAATTAATCGATATATGGTTTATTTGCAGATAATGGACACCCTGGCAGAAATTCAAGAGCGCCATGATGCTGTTAGGGATTTGGAAAGGAAGCTTCTTGAGTTACAACAGGTATGTCATTAATTTATTGCATTGATGTGAATTTTGTTTATCAAGAAAATTAAATTAAACCTTTGGGACTATTTTGCCAATAGCAATTAGAAGTTATCCTTTAGGGGCCGTTTGGATCGGGGGTAAATAAGGTAATATTCATTTATTTTGCAAGATTCCTGTGTTTGGTATGCAAGTAATAAAATATTACGGTAATCTTTTATTGCAAATAGTGATTACTGTTGGTAATGTGGGGGGTAATCCGATTACCTTGCAAGAGGGTGTTATTAAAACATTATTAGAGTAATATGATTTTTTTTTCCATTTTGCCCTTAATTAAAAACCATTTCGGATACAATTGTCCTTAAATGTCTACCAAATAACAATTACCTAGTCCCCTTACATTTGAGAAATTAGCTAAAACACCTCAACCACAAAAAAATTTAGAAGTTAACAAAATACCCCCCAGCCTCCCAAGACCACTATCGGCGTGACTCACCACTGCCGGCACCAGTCGTCGTAATGGTGCACGATCGACGGGATCTGGCCGTTCGTGTGCCGATAAGGCCTTTCCCAGTCATGGATCACAGATCTAAGGCTGAAAACAGCCAGATCTGGCATTTCTATGGCTATTTCATGGCCAAAGATGTGGCTGTGAAATGGCCATAGATCTAGCCGTTTTTCGAACATGGATTTATGATCCATGACTATTTTCGGCTTTACTGGTGTACGGTCAGCCATATACGGCCAGTCATGCGCAATTTCGTTGATTGCCGACGGTAGCGGGCTGTGATGTCTGGCTGCTAGCAGTGGCTTGGGGTAGGTGGGGGTGATTTTGCTACAAATTAAAGTTTTAATGGCTGAGGTGTGTTAGCAAATTTTCAAATGTAGGGGGTTAAAAGTAACTCAAGAAATAATAATAAAAAATGCTATTGTATTAATATTTAAAAATAAAGGCAATTTAGTAATATATATAATATACCAATCCATTTATCCTTCCAACCAAATATATTATTCACTAATTTATTCGAACCAATTAAACACATTTTATAAACATTCTCAGTAATCTTCAAGGTGATCTTTCTTTCTGTTAATATAATATATCTCTATAATAAAACATTATATGATCCAAATGCTCCTTTAGTGGTTTAAATGGTAGTAAAGGTAGTGTGCTTTTCCCATTGAACTTTCAAGTGTTGCGCACAAACTCGGCATTTAGGAATATCTGGGTTGTGCAGTAGGAGTAGGCAAATGTTGGGTAGTGTTGCCACATTTCCAGTGGAAACCGATACAGTCCTAACAATTTCACTTAGTCCAGCCTGATAGCTTTCTATTCACGTAATTTGATTGGCCCAGCCTGATGGATGAGAGCAGCCAAACAGTCTCAAAAGAGGCATGGTCTGCCATCAATGACTTTGAAATCCGAACGGCTGAAAGAAAGAATATATTTTGATTCTATATTTAAATCACTTGTCTTATGCAGATCTTTCTGGATATGGCGGTATTGGTGGATGCACAGGGAGACATGCTTGACAACATAGAATCTCAGGTAAATTTAACTACTCTCCTTGTCTCCTTAAAAAATGGAGAAATAATCGTGCTTGATACAAAATCTCTGCATGAGTACACATTGACAATGAAAAACATAATAACGTCCATAGCAGAAAAATCTCTGCACGAGTACACATTGACAATGAAAAAATATAATAATGTCCACATCAGAAAAATCTCTGCATGAGCACACATTGACAATGGAAAATATAATAATATTGGTTATGTTTGGCTTATTATTTTTATCCATATTCTTAACCCTATTCTCCAAATAATGTTTGGCACATTATTCCATAAATATTATTCTATTTTTTTAATTACTTTTAGACCCCATAAGGTTATTAATTTCATCAAATACACCCTGAAAAAAAAGTTTAAAAATTATCAAAAACACCTCCGCGACCCACACTTACCAGATTCCGACAACCACCGTTGGTGGTAGTCGGAATCTGTACAACGGCCTACCTGTCGACCAGAAATGATTGGAAGTTCACCGATCTGGCCTTTTCCGGCTAGATCCATCACAGATCTGGCCGTGAACGACGACCAAAGAAATGGCTGTCGTTGACCGAAAACGACGGCCATGGCCGTCGTTTTGGTCCTTTCCGGCCGTTGCGGCCACAATAGGCTGTAAATCTGACCTTTTTGGGCCAGATTTGTGGTGGATCTGGCCAGAAAAGGTCATAACGACACGGTACGACATAGATTCGACCGGTCTGTGTCGTAACACGATTTTTCAGCCAGATTTCGGTGGTAGTGGTCAGAATCTGGCATTGTAGGTGGTGGGGGTGTTTTTGTTATTTTATATATTAAGGTATTTAATTAAATTAGCAAACCTAGGGGCTTTTTCATAAATTTTTAAATTTTACCTTGTAATACTCCCTTATTCAACTACTCAATATTATTCCCAAAATCTTATCCAAAATAATAAACCAAACGCACCTATTCATATCAGAATATCTGCATCGGAATAAATTAGTGTTGAAAACTTTTAACATTGGATATATATAAATATATATCTTGGGGGTGGTATTAATTTCCCGGTTTCATGTCCGTCTTCCCTGTTTTTAGGTGTCCAGTGCAGTAGATCATGTGCAATCAGGAAACACTGCACTCCAAAAGGCAAAGAAGTTACAGAAGAGTTCCAGGAAGTGGATGTGCATTGCCATTATCATTCTTCTCATCATTGTTGCAATCATAGTGGTTGCCGTGATCAAGCCCTGGGTTAACCACAAGGGCGCTTAGCAGCTCAGCAGACTACATTGTACAAATATGATATATGCTTTCCTTCCGTATACTTGTCCGACCCTTCTCGGATCTGCTGCTCCTATTCCTGTTACCTATTTGAGGTCCAATTTAGAAAACCTAGATTCTCTTTGATTGCTCATCCTTTTTTGATCAAGCAAACCTGAGTTCTTGCCATGCCGAATGACAATTGTAATGTACACCATGTAACTTGAAGTACATGCTTCCACATTCTTTGATGTAATTTGAGAAAGTGAAATGTTTTATTATTTGGTTAATTTTCATACAGATTGCTTTGTACCAATGATTTATCTGGAGATGCTGTTTGATGACCCGAAAATGTACACCATGTCTTCGCATTCTCTGTTGTTTTTCATTTTCCATCATCAATTAAATCCAAACAATTTGTAACGTGCTAGATCCCTTAATTAAAATACATAGAAATTTGGATGATCTGAAATTAATAACAAAACTTTTAATTTTTTTAAAACTTGTCACAAATCTTTCTTACCAAAAATAAAAAAAGAGTAAACCACTTTTTCCCACCCAAGGTTTGCCATAAGTTTCAACCAAAAAGTTTCAAAAGTTCACTTTCCCACCCAAAGTTAATATTCTACTGCTTTCCAAAGTCAATTCCATTTGAGAAATTTTTTTCTGTCACCACCATTTGAACCTTCGATCTCCTTTCTACAAAACCTTTCTTAGTACAGCATTTGATTTTGAGTAATGTTATGGGTACTAACGGATTTTATTAACCACTGTACTAACTTAAAGCACAGTACGGGTACCATACGCATAGTACGGGTACTATGTGTGATTTTAACAAAGGTTAGTAAACTGATTAGTAAAATCCGTTAGTACCCAAAGTATTATTCTTTGATTTCTTGTTGATTTTCGGTCATTGCAAAGTTAAGGTTTCCTGTTTTTATATGATTTTCAGTTAATTTTAGTGACGAATATTCAATCGATCATCACCATTTGATCCACCGGCCTTCACTCTACAAAAACCCTCCTACTCTGGCTGGGCTGAATCCAGTTACCATTTTGCCCTACATATCAAACGTCCAATACGACATAACTTCTGAATATTCAGAATAGTTTGGTCCTGTGTTTTTCTATCAAGGACAGATCTTTCAAAAAATAGCAAGTATATCCTTGACCTGACCTTAACATGCGTTCAGTCATTTAACATTGCTGACAACGTCTCTCTGTTATACCAAGTCACAAATCCATTTCGCCTACTCCACACTGTTACCGCTGGCGACAGCAAGAGTCCAGTCGGATTCGTCGAGAAGAAAGCCGCAGAATCAACCTAATTTGGCCACCACAGTACCTCTGGTAGTTCGCCTCGCACGTCCAAAATCTCAGTAAACGAAACACACGTGTCCACCATCAACGACGGCGCCACCACAAATCGACTCCTCAACTACTGATGTACGAAACCCCAACAACTTATTGATGCATCCTCACTTCTGCCTACCAATCCCAACGCCACCAAATTGATGTGGAAGTAGCAAAAAGGTAATATTGTGTTCAAAAGTTAATTAAGCTGCAACTTGTTTACGTGGATTTGGCTTTTGAGATATCAGAGAAGTTTGTTCTATTGTTCAGCTTTGTTGTTTCTTAATGCAATTATTGAGAAGCCTTGCATGTGGAAGTGGAGAAGAGATAAAAAATTATGGGCTGTGTTTGGATTACTGTAATTATTTAAATTTTGATTTTTTTTAATGTTTGATATGAGATGAAATTAATTGTTTTGAGCTGGTTAGCAGTTTTGTTGTTGAATAAATTTCAAGGCTTTATTGGTTGTGGTGAATAATTTTGTATGTAATTGAGATGATCATGTGTGTTTCTGATGTTTTGATTGTAAAACCAAGGCCAAAAACCTCATCTCCCAAATGCATGATTTTTTTTCTTTAAAAATAAAATGAAGCTAGAAAATAACAAACAATTGTACCCATTGAATACTTACAAAAAACAGAAATACAACTCAATTGAATTTCATTAGGTAAGTTGATAAGCACTTTGCATTTTTGTATAACATTCAAAATTTAAGGTCTATTGCTAGTTTTCTCGAGATTGAATTAGATTAAACCTTAATAAAGAAGAAATTTTGCGTTACGGTATTCATATATTCAATTTGTGGTATGTTATGTGATATGTATCTTTGTAATGAATGGTGATATCGCTTTGTTGTGGATTCTAAGGTCTGAAGTTTATTAACTTCCAATCTGAATGATTCAGAAACATTTTTAATCATCCGTCAGCCCTTCAGAGAGAAGGTGTTAATTCAAACTATAGTTACTCTACATCTAGTTGTTTATGAATTGTAGATATGTAATTATTACCCCTTTGTTTTGGTTGACGATTTTATGGTAACATTTTTTGCAGAATGTTGATTTGCTCATTACTTGTATCTGCTCGTTATTTATCATTGCCATAGGATCTTCATGCTCCTATGGAGGATGATCAGATGAAAATAAGCTGTGGGAGCAAAAGACCAAGATCTGCTGAATTTGACTTACACTGGAGTGAATGGCAACTCCTTGATTCCATTCTCCCCACAGGAGGGTTTGCTCATTCATTTGGTATTGAGGCTGCCGTTCAAGCCCGCATTATTTCATCTCCTGATGATCTTCGAACTCATGTGATACATGTGTTGGAGAATACTGGGAGCTTACTACTTCCTTTTGTGTACTCTGCAACTGTTAGTCCGACTTTAGAAACCTGGCATAAACTTGACAGAATGTTGGATGCAACTTTAACTAATGAAGTAAGTCGAAAGGCATCAATTGCACAAGGGTCGGCTCTTATGAGAGTAGCTGCTGCTGTTTTTACAGAAATCCCATCTCTCAAAAGCATGAGGGAAATCTCTTTGTGCTCTGGCACTTTCACTTCCCACCATGCTCCTGTTTTTGGGATTATTTGTGGGCTTCTTGGGTTGCAAAGTGAAATTTCTCAGAAAGCTTACATGTTTGTCACAACAAGGGATGCTATTTCCGCCGCTACAAGATTGAATCTAGTTGGACCACTTGGTGCAGCCGTACTGCAGCATCAGATTGGTTTTGTTGCCGAAGCTATGTTGAAGAAATGGAAAGACCGTCCTGTGGAGGAAGCTTGCCAAACGGCTCCTTTACTTGATACAGTGCAGGGGTGTCACGGTTACTTATTTTCCAGACTGTTTTCTTCCTGAAGTTTCACTAAGAGATTCAGTATTTTTCTTGTTCTATTCATGTATCTATGAGCTATGTAAATTTTGATTGATTCAGAAGAAACTTGTATGTTTATAGCTTGATGACATGTTTTAGCCTTCAACAATGTTGATGATGGATTTGATATTCTGGATTTAGAGGCTCTTGAAGTTAGAATTTGTAGTGCCTTTCAAATTGGATGAAAGCTCTTTGTTTGTTCAACCCGTTTTTATTATTTATTAAGATTTTATCTTAAATTATTAAATATAAGTTTAATTCGTATAAAACAACATTAGGGGACTTAATAAATTTGTGATTTATTATTATATATAGACCTTTACTTTATTTTGTGAATAAAGAATTCTATATATTTTTTTTCTTCGATGATCGAGGGTATCTGAGTTAGTTTACACACATCTCAAATCAATCCCTAAGATCTTGGTACTATCGGCCGAGTAAAAGTTTCAGTGGTTAATTTTAATTGCAGTTAAAGAGAGATTCGAACTTACTTTCTTTCTTTCTTTTTTTGGTTTGATAATCAGGTGTGTCTAAACCAACCTATACACATCTCAAACTAATCTTCGAAATTTTGAAACTATTCGGTCTGTGTAAAAGGTCAAATGGAAACCTTTTAGCAATCGATGTAAGACTCGAACTCAGAGCTTTTGAAATAATATACCTAAGAATCTCTATCGAATCACTCGATCATTCAAATTATATATATATATTAAGAAGTAAAATAAACAATGAATTTAAACTGAGTAAATGAAAATAAAATAAATGAAAGAAATAGTAAAATACTTTAAAATTGATAGGAATTTAATTGAAAACGAGCAAGCGAATCAGTTCAGTCCGTTGAATTCAATCAAAACGACCTAAATAAGAGGAAGAGAAGAAAGCAAGTAACTTCCTCTGTTTAGCTTCACTTGTTCTCTTTATTTTAATATTTATTTTTAAAGTTGAAAAACAAAACATTAAACAAATTGAAGGAAAATTCTTGTTTTCAGTTTAGATCTTAACATGGCGCCTGTTGGTCCTCGATCCGGTGATGCTATCTTCGCCAACATGGAACGCGTGGTAACCGTTTGATTTAATTACTGTGTAATCTCTAAAATTTTTATTTGTGAAATTGGGTTTGTTGAATTGAATTGTTCGTTCTTTGAAATTCGTTGTGTAGAATGCTGAGCTTTTTACCTTAACTTATGGCGCCACCGTGCGTCAGTTACTCACGGATCTGGAAGAGGTCGACGAAGTTAACAAACAGCTCGATCAAATGTACGCTTCTCAATTTACTTCCATNAGAGAGAGAGAGAGAGAGAGAGAGAGAGAGAGAGAGAGAGAGAGAGAGAGAGAGAGAGAGAGAGTTAGTTCATATCTCCACAAAGGTTGGAAATTGGACGACACCTATATTGATATAACAGTTCATATCTCCACAAAGGTTGGAAATTGGACGACACCTATATTGATATAACATCTTTGTGGTCAGAGTTAGTATTCTTTCCTTTCAAATGGCATGCTTGCTTCTGATTGTGCGCGTGGACTTGAGTCGGCAAGAAATGGCAAGAAACAAAATGAAAATTGTTGATGCTTGATTTTGGACACCAACTATTCGCACGTGCAAAGTATTAAGCGAACTTAGAAATTGCACGTGAATGGGAAAATGAAATAAATAAATGAGAGATGATTTTTAAAGTGGTTCGGATGCTCAAAGTAAATCCTACGTCCACTATCTTTTTTATAAATAAAAGATTACAATCAAGTCACAAGTACCGATCAGAGAAATAGAAATACAGAGAGGGAGAGTGAGTGTTTTTTGTTATCAGAATAATGAGAGGGGAGCTCTCTATTTATAGTAAGAGGTTTCTGGGTAATGATTACAGGTCTGCTAGCGGGCAAATATCATATAGTTCCTACCCTACTTCCCATTGGCTGGCTGCATGGAAGATGTCCTTAAATTGCCCAAGGCTTGGGCAAGTGGGTGACTCCTAGCCACTTACTAGCTAGGTCTTTACTTGCCAAGTTAATGACAGCCTTACTCCTTTTGTCCTTAGATGACGTGGCAGTGCTTGGACAACATAATGCCTTCCTAAACTATAATTGGTCCTTGCTGACATAAGCCTACGTCAACCTTGATTTTTTAGGCTTAACAGAAGCCCCCCAGTTTTTAAGGTTCAAGGCTTGAACTTTAAGAACTTCATGATTTGACTCATCCCGAGGATCGCTTGCTTGAACTGCAAGTGGAGAATGGCTGAAATAACACGAAGTTCACGATTTTAGTCGACCATCAAACTAAGTGGAGGTCATGATGTGGGACATGGCAAACTGCACAAGCGACCTGAGATGATTGTCCCCTAAAGGTTCAGCAACCTAGGGTCGGATCTTGCTCAGTGCTATACCAACGTGCTTCAATCTTTGCCCATTGCTCGCAACCTGAAAACACTTAGAATATTTTCGCCGAAAATCGAAATTCACTTCGCTTCGAGCTCAATACATAGAGAAGAGTGTTTCATTCGAACGACCTCTTTAGATGTTATCCATTGTGCTTGACAGTTGGCCTAGTCAATAAAGTAAGATTTATCTGATAGACGTGTCTTGCACAATAAATATCAGCCATGAGTATTAAATGTAAGCCATGTTGAAACGACATTCTCTTTTAAAACAATAAATGCGGATGAGGGCGCATTTAATGCGGTGAAGATAACCAAGCCGACGTTTGGTGTCTCCAACAAAGGAAAACGTTGATTGATTTTCACGAAGCGTGAAGGTTACTCTTCACAAGGATTAGCGACACGTGATCGCATCCAACGGCTAGGAACGCATCTCGCCCAAACGTCGCTTGCAAAGGAAACCAAATGTCGCCTTCTTCCCTATAAAACCCTAAGCCCACTTCATGATTTTCATGGAACTCAAATCTTCAGAGAAAAAAATAGAGTTTTAGCACTCAAAAAACCAGTTCATCCTTCTTCCAGTTGATGTGCACTCGCCGTTACAACAGAACGTTCATCCCCAGCAACCAAGAGGTAAGGAAAATTCTTCCCTTTTTTCTTTTCATTCCTGTTAAAATTCAGTTCTTTCACAGCAATGGTGGGTTTGAACGCCTGGTAAACTTTATATGATGCACATTCTTGGGTAGTGTTCAAAAAGGAACGCTCTTAAGAATCGAAAAACTAGGGCACATATCTTTGAGAACTCATTCTCAAGGACGTTTAGGGTTTTTAGAGGCTAACGGAGGAAAATTAGGGTTTTTCTTACTCTTTCAAGTCATCGTACGAAACACTATGTATCGAGACTAGGTCACCTATATATGTCGCACCTTTTCAGACTTTTAGAGCAGTGGATGCTTTGGAGATGAGAGCAACTGCAGGAACAAGCTGCAGTCCCCGAGCACCTCCGTGGGTCTCGCATAGGCGGTGCTATTAGCAGCCACTACAGATGAGATTCAAAACGTGGTAGAGCAGTTTGCAATCAACATAAACATCTACCAGCATAGGTCGCACACTGCTTAGAACCTTGCAAAGGGAATGGCTGCAATCTCAGAAGCAATCTTCAAATGCAATGTGACGATACCTTTTCACCCTTTTATTAGATCAATCCTCGACCACTTCGAGGTTGCGCCATTCTAACTGACACCCAATGCGTATATGATAGCGATTACTATGTATATCGCATGCCACGAACACGAGTTCGGTGAACATTGGAACTCACATGGGCTTACTACTTAAAGAAAAGCAAGGACAATAATTCCTTCTACCTCTCGAAGCAATCTACAATTGAGGGAGGGATATTTGGTTACCCCAATAACGTTGAGGCTTATGACACTAAATATTTCTTCTTTGAGTATGATGGCGTTTGTAAATTTAGGGAGCCAAGTAGGTTTTTTTCTTTTATTTTCCAAACTGACTATCATTTTCTTTAAATCTCTTTTGGTAGTTAAGACTAACGGAATTTTTCTTTTTCGCAGAGAACAAGACAACCAAGTTGTTGGCTCTAGCAGATTTCAGCCGTATCGAGGCATTTGGTTGTTTACTCAATCAGAGTCGCGACGCAAGACTGCTCGTAACCACTGCCAACCTGTGAAAGTACGGATTTTTTAACCCCGAGGCATCTTTGGAAGCTCCAGCCCGTAAGTATTTTCGCATCCAGAAGAACTTTTAGCCTTGTACCAAAGATGACCCTTTTTTTAACACATTTTCATAGCGTGTAGTGACCATGCCACCAAGGGTTTTGAAGCCATCGACAAAGGTTGGGGGGTTTGTATTCCCCCAGGTCAACATGACTAAGCTAGCTGAATTGACCTCCGATGCCATCCCCACATGAGGGATACAGATTGGTGCCGAAAGACAACCACCCACGGAGCTACGCAAAGAAGCTCATCAGCCTATGGCTGCTCATGCCACGAAACAAAAAGTCATAGGCCATAAGACCAAGAAGATGAAGCAACTGACCGCCGAGGAGGAAACGGAGTCAAAGCTAGAGGGCTTTGGGGTGCTGTTGGAAAGAACTCAACCCTACCCTGTCACCTGCTTGGGAGTGCCCCCAATAGGCCCCTTAGCACTTTGGCGGCCCCCGGGAGCTCACGCAAGGGAGTGTGAGCGACCATGGCGGCCCAAAAGAGAGCGGGCAAGCAACAGGTCGAGGATGTACCTACCCCCTCAGGACCAAACCCGTTCGTGTTGGATTCCCTAGGGCAATTGCCGAAGCACTTGCAGCCGGTAATGTACTCCCTACTGGAATGCTAGCTTACCACGACCTTCTAGGAGTTTATGGCTTCCTGACCTACCAACCTAGTGGCTACTGCGCTCCAATTGCACAATCAGGTAAAACGGTAAGCTTTCTTCGAGAACTTTCTTAGCTTTTTATGATTTTGAGAAAAGGAAACTAACTTTTGTCTTTTTTCCCATGCAGTCCCTACTCGCCCTTATTGTGGCCCAATAGAAGATCGATATGGACTATGTTGGCAAACTCCACAAGCTGAAAGAGGAGAATGCCAAGCTAAAGCAAGACTTCGCGGCCATGGATGTAGAGGCTAAAGCGGCTCGCATCCAGGCAGATCAGTACTTGGCAGAGAGGGATTCTACACTTCGGGCTACTGACTTTCACCACGAGCTGAAGGAGGAGAATGCCAAGCTAAAGCAGGACCTTGCAACCATGAGTGTAGGGGCTAAAGCAGCTCGTATCTAGGCAGATTAGTACTTGGCAGAGAGGGATTCTACATTTCGGGCTACCAACTTTTGTCGAGCTCAAAAAGAGAGATAGGAACAACAAGGAGCTCTAACAAAAGATGGCAAGACTCATCAAGAAGCTGAGCGAGAGAAAGAGAGAAAGAGCTAAAGGTGAGCACCGATCTGCGAGGGCGGCGAAGGAGAATCGGGCTTAGTTGTGGGAGAATTCTGAGAAGAAGAAAAGGGTGATAGAGGCAGACCTCGAGCTGTCTTAGGGGCGAGTTGCTTAATTGACCGAGTAGATGAAGCAACAAAACCTTGAGCTCGAGAGGAAGGCTACTCACTGGGCGATACAGGCTATTTACAGCTTACAGCCGAGGAACCCAGATCTTCCAGACGAGTACTAGTCCATTCTTATCTCCATGCTTCAGCTTGAAGAGGCCGAGTAGCAGGAGGAACAGGAGCCTCCTCCGAAAGATGATCAGCTGAACATTCTCGAAGATCGAGCGGACGATCATCCAAAGGATCGGGAGGTCGCTTTCGAGGGGCCTAGAAATAAAGACCAATGATCACTCTCTTTTCTGTTCTTGTAGGTCTCCCAGCTTTTAACTTTTGTAACTCCTTGTCACCTCTTATACATATTTTCTCAATATATAAAAGGAACTTTTAGTCACTTGTGATAATACTTTTATAACTTAATCACTTCACAAAATAAATATAACTTATCTGACCATTGAACTTGCAAAATATTATAAAGAACAAGATTATTAACAAAAAGACTTGAGATCACGACACAAGTTTTTCTTCAAGAAGAAGCGGAACAATCTTATTCACAATACTTACAAGAAGAAAAATTTTACAAGTAAAAAGAAATTATCAAAGCTGTAAGCGAGTTCGGAATTACTAATAATAGGGGCGAAGATGCTCATCATTCCAAGCTCGCGGCACTTCGGAGTCGTTAAGCCTCTTAAGGTGATACGTCACAAGTCGTATTACCTTTGCGATGTGGTATGGACCTTCCCAGTTGGGTCCCAATATCTCCACACTTGGTTCTCTTATGCCAAGAATGACTTCTTTCAAAGCTAGGTCGCCAACTTGAAAGTCTTTTCACCTGACCT